TGTAAAGCGGGGTCCTGGGCTACCCACTCGGGACCACTCCTACCCCTCAGAAGCTTTCCTATCAATAAATATCTTCCTACTCTTAGCCCCTGTGGTTCATAGGACTCATTCTTTGATTTCTAGAGAACAAGAGCTCAGTATATCATACAGTTAGCAGGTTAGAAGATATCATATTTCATATTTCATCTCCACTATATTTCGTGTAACAGGGCCACTATTAGTATTTAAGCTGAGACAATAGGCCCCAACAGGAACTACCTTATGCAAACCAGAACACATGGTCTTTTATGGGAGCCACTGGGAAAAGTTCAGAAGGCCTACAGACTCTGATATCTTTCTTTATTTGGAAGAAAATAGCAGCTGCTATTATTGCTAGTTGTTCTAAGCATGGCACTGCACAGAACTGTGTGTCCTTTCCCAGAAGCAGAGTACATGAAATAATAAGGGAACATTCAATGAATGCTTGTAAAGTTCCTTGTGAAGAATTCCTCCTGCTATCTAAAAATTGTATTTCCTTCTTTTCTAATATTTTTGCCAAATAAGATAATGACTTGCATCGGTGAAAAGTGGGGAGTAGCTTTCCAGCATTGAATTGTCCCAAGGGAGTAAAATAAATGTGACAGGGGATTGTTACTGGCCGCTTACACTCATTTGCTCAGGTTCCCCTGCTCACCGCTGACCAAATCAGAAGGGAGAAAGAATTTATTCGAAGCTAGCTGTGAGGAGGTGGAGGGGCCCACCTGCCCCAAATCACCATCTCCCCACTTACAGGAGGGCAAGGGTCTTTGGAGTAAGGAACAGAAGGGCCAGGGATGTGGCCCAGAGGGGCCACGCCTGCCTGGCAAGGCACAAGGTCCTCAGTTTGGTTCCTGATACTGAGACAGAAACAAATAAACCAAAAGGGACAGAAGAGAGGGTCGCACAGAGAGGATACTGATCTCCACACTTGCTTTATCACTTCCAGCCATCTTCACTGATCCTGCTTCTTTCTTGTGGGAAACAAAGCAGGCTCCAGGCCTCCTGAGGCTGGCATTGGCATATTTGGTCACTTCTTTTGGGCTAATGAGAGGTGAGGGCTGTTGCTACCTGTCCAGCAGGAAGAACTTTGGAATTCTATTTCACAGTGCTAGGTGCAATTCAGTCTCAAACTTCTGGTTTCTCTTTGTTTGTACTACAGCTACCTTTGATAAAATCAACATGCCAATCCTGTATGAGATGGACACAAAAACAGGCACTTCAGTGCCCTCAGAAGGGGGAGAGTTGTAACTGGCGCTGTAAAATAAACTCCAGCCCTCCTCTGGCTGAGCACATAGCCCATCCCTCGACCCTATGGCCCCAAAGAAGGGGCAGAATATGCAGAGGCCAGGCCAAGGAGGTCAGGAGCCTGGTTTGCTTTCCACAAACAATAAGAGGATAAGCTGAAGATGGCTCACAGGGCCTGGCTTCTCTGACACAGCCTTAAGATGTCATGTGCCCCTGTGCACCTGATATAATTTGATACATTTACAGGGAAAATTTTGTATTAGCACAGTCAATTTATTGTTATTTGTGCCTTTTAAATGGGTTGTGCAGGTGGGGGTTGCTTTTTTGAACAAGTTTGGTGTGGCCAACATCTGGCGGCCTTCTGTTTGTACTGACAAGTGACCAAGTCATCCTGCCTAGCACTTGCACTCAAAATGGAGTCAATCAGGGAAGGCACAGCCGGAAACCTACTTTTCCATACACCATGGAGACACTCACTGCAGGGCTTGGCCTCCTCACCACAATCCTCCTCTGGATTACTGATTGAGGACAAACTCCATCTCCTTCCTAGTCGTTATTCATCCTCCAACATCTCTGTTATCAAAGTCTCCATGATTTGCTTGCATTGGTCCTGGAGATAACTTCGTTAGCATCTCCAGGATCTCCAGTGCAGTGCCTACTTCCTCTTTTCCCAGCAGATTTTCCAGGCAAAAAAGCTGATCTCCACACTTGCTTTATCGCTTCCAACCATCTTATTCCCTGGGCTGTCCCTTTCCTGCCCTACTGTTTTCTCAGCCTTCCAGCATAGAGTCCCATTGTGAGAAGGACCATGTCTAGTGTCTTCTCTCATATCTCTGCCATGTTATACACACATCATTTTATTAAAATCAGCTAAGTTCGATATCCTCAGTAGCACGGGAACTAGCAGATAGAATCAACAACTGGGATCTCATCTTACTAAAAAGCTTCTGTACTTCAAAAGAAACCATCAGCAGAACTAAGAGACAATCTACTATGTGGGAAAAAATTTTTACCAGCTGTTCCTCAGACAAAGGACTATTATCAAGGATATATAAAGAACTCAAAACAATCAGTCCCCCCAAATATAAAGACCTGATTCAAAAATGGGCATCCGAAATGAACAGACATTTCTCAGACAAAGAAGTAAAAGCAGCAAGAAAATATTTGAAAAAATGTTCCACATCACTGGTCATTCGAGAGATGCAGATGAAAACAACACTGAGATTCCACCTCACCCCACAAAGAATGGCTGCTATCAAGAAATCACACAATAACAAATGTTGGCGGGGTCGTGGGGAGAAAGGAACCCTCCTCCATTGTTGGTGGGAGTGCAGACTAGTGCAACCACTATGGAAATCAATATAGAGATACCTCAAAGAGCTTGGACTGGAGGTTCCATTTGACCCAGCCATCCCTCTGCTGGGTATCTTTCCAAGAGAACTAAAAGAATCATATCACAGAGAAGTATGTGCACCCATGGTTATAGCGGCACAGTTTGTAATAGCTAAATCTTGGAAACAGCCTATTTGCCCATCCGTTGGAAACTGGATAAAGAAGTTGTGGTTTTTCTATAAAATGGAATATTACTCAGCCATAAAGAATGAGAAAATAGATTCATTCATAGGAAAATGGATACATATTGAAGATATACTCCTAAGTGAAATAAATAAGTCACACATGTGTAAATACCAAATAGTTTCCCTGGTGTGAATAATCTGCAATCATGCATAAGATTCTAAAAAGATTACTGACATTTAGAAATGGGAAGAAAGGAGCTAAAGGTGTAGGGAAGGTGGGATGGGTAGGGGAAGAACAAAAAGGGAAAAGAAAAAAATGTGAGAGAATGAAAAGATGAAAATAAAGTGTTTGCAGATGGGGAGGGGAGGAGGGGGTGAAGGGAGGGCAGAGGTAAGGGGAAAAAATGAGAATCAAGACTTGCCATGTAGAGGTACATGATCCCAACAATGAATGCAACTGTACTGTATCCCTAAAATATACCAATAAACTCAATAAAAGTAAAAAAAAAATCAGCTAAGTTCGGTAGAAATTAACAGGCAGTCAGACAGGACTAGGCCCTTAAGGGAGTCAGTACTGAAGATGAGAACACATCACAACTGTAGTTGGAGGTACAGCCATTGAAAGCCAGGCCTCAAGGTAAAGAGGGAATGACCAGGCCTCATGTCTGCCTGAGGGATAAACAATAACTTGAGATTGAACTGCAATTGGTATCACTTGGTCCAGATAGACATCAGTCACCCAAGTGGGTGACCAGATCATCCAGACCCAGGCGTCCAGGTGGATGACCAGAGCACACAGACATATCCTTCCCAAAACTTCCTTTCTTCTTTCCATGTACGCTAGATACGTGTCTTGCTTCTCTACTGGATCACTATTGGCTGTACTCCTCATCATATAGATTGACTGTGACTTGAGTCAGAATATACCAAACTGTGACTTTGCTCAATAAATTATTCCTGGCAAAGGGCCTTGGTAGTAACCCACTTCTGGGATCCCTCCTGTCTGTCAGGAGCTACTTCTCTCAACAAAAATTTCCAACTTTATTTATTTATTTTTTTGTTTTTTGAGACAAGGTCTCACTATGTAGTTGAGACTGACCTGAAATTCACTATGTAGCCCAGGCTGATCTTGAACTCACAGTGATCCTCCTGCCTCAGCCTCCCGAGTGCTGGGATTACAGGCATGCGCCACCAGGGCCAGCTCAAAAAAATTTCCTACTTTAGGGCCAGGAACTTAGCTCAGTGGTTCTGCCACCTGCCTTGCAAGTGCAAGGACCCTAGTTTGATCCCTGGTGCCATAAAACAAAATAACAAAAAACAAACAAACAAAAATTTCCTACTCTTAAACTCCTTTGTTCTTTGCATTCCTTTTTTTCATTTTAGAGGACACAAACTCAGCACCTCTGAAATCTAGCAGGTTGAATATTTCTTCTCTAGCAATAACTACCTCTGTAAGGAAACCCAATAATCTGAATATTTCTCTTTTGGATGAAGGTTGGGGATGGGGCAGCACCTATGAAATTTCCTCCCAAAGTGATGTCACTAAGCTCACAGACAAACAACAGCTCTTTAACAAGTGATCCTTAACACAGACCCTTCCAGCACTCTTCCCTACCCCCCCAGTTCCCTCTGTGTCTTCCCAGGTCTGCTATTCTGACAGTTCAGCAGCTCGTGGGCCAGTTTCTGCTCATCTGGACACAAGCATTTCTGCAGGGCGGGAAGCAAATTTCTATACTATTATTCAACTGGCCTAGACTGTAGCAGCTGCCAACTGCAACCGGCCACGTGACCGTGGACACACTGGCCACAGATCCACTTGGGTGTGGAGGACTCCTCTTCCCAAAGCTGGGTCCCTTCACACAGGCACTGGCAGCTGTGTTTTCTGAGTTGTCCGTCTGCTTTTCCAACCACCCTGGCCTGAGGACCCAGCTTCATTCCGAGCTGCCCCTTGGGTGGAGTTAGCTCAGCCACCTCACATGCGCAGGGTTTTCACGTTCTTTACACAAGTAAACCTCTTATTTCAATATTGATCAGCCTTTCCAGAAAATCGTCAGCACAAAATTGTGCAGAACAAGAGAAAGTTTCCCAATCAAGAATAAGACGGGAAAAGGGAAGAAAATGCTAACTTGCTCTATGCATGAAAGTTTCCAAATTGCACAATCTGGGAAAATTAGATCGTAGTGAAGAAAAGCCCCAAAGTCTGGATGCTGTGTTCCAGCCAAAGAGGAATTGCGCAAGAGGGAAGAGAGGTCGGCCTCCGGAGCAAGGTGTCAGTAGATATAGCACCGGCCACATCTGCCCAGAGGCATCACCGGCACTCAGCTTCTCCAGCCCTCAGCAGGACACACAGCCCCAGGTCACTCTTCGGAGGTCCTCTCTGCAGCAGCATTCTGCTCTTGGGCTGCATCTCAGTTCTTCCTCCGCCCTTCCTGTGTCTCCTCTTCTGATGAGTACATTTGCCAGATGGGAACACTTTTCTTTTCAGTACCGGGGATTAAACTCGGGACCTTGTGTGTGAGGGGCAGGCAGGGCGCCACTGAGCTGAATCCCTGGCACAGATGTGAATACTTTTGGGGAGAGATTTTGTTGTTTGCTTCTGTGTGGCTTCAGGGATAGGTAGAGCAGGAGTTCTACAGATATTTATTCAGGTTTTAAACTTATGTTGCAGAAAGGTACAAAAGTCAGAGAATCTCTGAATGTCTCTTCCAAAGCTTCCTCTACAGGGTTGATAAGGAAAGATTAAAATAAAAACTAATAGTCCACCCTGTGAGATCTCAGACTCTGGGATTCTAATGAGGTGAATGAAAATCCACAGTTAGGCCCTCTGAAATCCTGGCTCCATGTTAACACACAGGAGTTTGGGTATAAAATTGAGGGAGGCTTATTTTCAGAAGGCTCGGATGGGCCAACGTTGCCAAATGCAAAACCAGACGTGTAACACCCTTTGTTGTCTGCCCGACTCTGCAGCACGATGAAGCTTTCCACTGGACTCTTTCTCTGCCTTCTGGTCCTGGCCGTTGAGGGCCAAAGTTGGACGTCATTCATCAGGCAAGCCGGGCAAGGTAAGGGCCTACGGGGATGGGCAGGAGGCCACACCTGGGTGTACCAAGGGTTCAGCTGAGCAGATACCAATCCCAACCAGCAAAGGCGCTAGTGAAGCCGTGAGTGGATAGACCAGGAGCATGGTCTTTTTTCTTCTCTTTCTCGGTTCTGGGGATCAACTCAGGACCTTGTGCTTCAGAGGCAGGTGGCAGCACCATTGAGCTAAGAACCCGGCCCTGAGCATGGTCTGTTTAATACCATGGTTTTTATAATAGCAATTCTCTGTGATTTTCTAGCCACCTCTGACGCTCTTCGAGGGAGGATTCCCTGACCTGAGACCACATGAAGTTCGTGTGGCCACTTCCTAGCAAGTGCGGGAGAGATTAGGACTCAGGTGTCAGTTCTCTTAATACAAATGGGACACTGCTGCCCCCTCCTCGCCCCTGTGCCACATCGGGACAGCTCATTTCTGTGTCCCTGGTGTAACCACGAAGGGGGTGAATTAAAAAGCAGAATCCACTGCTCTTTCCTAGGAAGCTGAGCACAGCGGAGACAGCCCCCAATCCACATAGTAGCAGTAACAATCTTCATTAGCTGGAGCTTTTACTATGCACTACAGCTTTCAGAACTGAATGAATGAGTTTTTGTCCTTTCCTCCTGGGAGGTGGCACCCTAGAGAAACTGAGGCACAGAGAGCTTACAGAGACCCAACAAAGGTTCAGAGGAAAGCAGATTTAACCCAGGTAGGCTTGCTTCTCAGAATTTTCTACACTGCTTCCAAACCGAGAGTGCGGGATTTGTGGACACACGAAATGAGAAATGGCCAGTGGCCATGATGGGATGCTCTTGGAAGGCAACTCCTCTCCTCCGTCTGTGATGGGGGACACAGTGACTTCGAGCGATGAAAGCTCTCTTGGACCTGAGATATGGCCAGGAATCAACAGTAAGGGAAATGTACCCCTCAGCCATAGTGACAAGATTTTGTCTTCAAAATACAGCATTTAAACTCTCAGGCATTGGGGCTGGGGCGGTTGTTCAATGGCAGCGTGCTTGCCTGGCATGTGGGAGGCTTTGGGTGCAAAATCAGATGGTGCTAATATCTGTGGTGGCTCTCAATGGTTGTCTTTAGGATCAGTTGCTGATCCTTTGTAAATTCTCACACACACACACTGCGCTATCAATATCTTTCATTCCTTAATGTCATTCCAAGGGTGGTCCTGGGACCACTTGCACGAGAATAACCAGGGTCCAGGGATGACTTGTGAAATGAGGCTGACACTGTCCACTCCCTCTCTGCACTGAATTACAGTCTGGGAGGCTGGAGCCTACAAATCCGGCCTTAACCAAACACCCGGTTCATTTTTATGCATAGTAAGTAAAGGCTGGGAACAGCTACCTCACAGACGAATTATATACGCCATGTCTAGAACTATATATTAGGTTTTCTCCCCTTTCTCGTCCACTTAAACATTTAAAATTCATCCCTTGACTGCTTTGAGAGTGAGGGGAAACAATTTTCTAGAGATTTGCAATCCAGACTACTCAACCTTGGGATTTGCTCAGCTTCTGGAATCCTGCTAAACCCTTCACTTAGAGACTGTTCACTTTCCAAATGTCTTTTATCAAAGAGACCAGCTAACCCCTCAGCACCACACCAAGCTGGAGAGTGGATGAGGGAGAATATTTGGTGTATCCAGGTGCTTCCTATGAAGGAACCAAGTGTTCTTTGAACCAGAGATGGGAAAGCCCTGACACTTTCCTCTCTCCTCTGAACTGAAGGCTTTTGCAGGAGTAGCTGACAGATGCCTCCTCACAGACCTAAGCTTCTGATAAAACTGCTGGTTGACCGTCAGTCCCAACATTCGATGTTTGGCAAGCGGCAGAGATTTGCTAAAGGCAGTTGTTCCAGGCTCTTCCGTGTTTCTGCTGGCCAAGAAACACGCTGTTTTGAGCATTACAGTGGACAGTCAGTCAACTCAGTTGAGACTTTGCTAAAGGCTTTCCTTCAGCATTGACTTAAAGAATGATGGACTCAGAATTACATAGCTCCTGGCTATGCTACCATTAGCTCTGCCTTGCGCTGTGACTATCAACTTTCAGAAGGAGGCAGGCACTGATAGTGAGCTCACGTTTGACCTCGTCTGCTTTTTCTGAGGTATTTTGTATATTTCAGCAGCAAAGCGAAACTGCATCTGCAGCTTTATCCCTGTTTCTTATAAGGGAAGAGCCTCTATACAATTGGATACATTTTGGCTTTTCCTCATTGTGAATTTGAATCCTTTTCTATTTCTATAACAATTTATAAACATTTAAAAAATGTAAAAATTCATTTAACGCTAGCACAGTTTAGTTCCAGTTCTTTATTTTTTCTCACCCTTTGTAAGAACCTGAAGAGCTGAGTGATCACTGAGCACCTGTAATATTCCAGACATTGTTTGGATATTTTCTCAGTTCTTCTGCAAAACCCCTGGGGTTTTATGCCCCTCCATTTTACCCGGGAGGTCAGGGAAGTTTTGGACCTGGGGGGTCAGTTGCCCTTATTCTGACTCTGATTATCCAGTTTATGTAAATTCCCCTTAGAGAACACATTTTTATCACCCTTTGATTGAATTCTTTAAAAAGTGTAATTATTAATGTATGTTACTCTACATATTCAGGGGTCCCACTGTGACGTCCCCATACATAAGTCTATGATGTTTTGACCATATCCACCCTCCCGTATCCCCTCACCCTCCGTCCTCTTCCTGGTCCCCTCCTGCTTGCCCGGTAGTCTCTCTCCTGCTCTGAGGTCTTTTGTTTGTTTGTGTCACGCATGAGAGAAGACATGCGGTACTTGTCTTTTCTGTGTCTGGTTTATCCTGCTGACTGACTTCTGACAGCTGTCCAGGCTCAGAAATATACCCTGGGCCCTCGGATGTCCTCAGAACAGGATCGTTCTTACTCTACCGGTGAGGGAGCAGTTCTCCCACTGACTGCATTGGGCCTGGAGCCCCCTCACACTCCTGTGTGCTCTTCCTGGGTCGGAAGGTTCTCTGGATCTTTCTACACAGAGGACGGATTGGTCAGCTTTCCAGGCACGGAGACAAATTGCCTGACAGGCACGACTTAAAGGAAGAGAGGTGTATTTTGGTTCACGGTTTCAGTCCATGGTCGTCTGGCTCCAAGGAGAACATCATGGTGGAAGGTGTGGTGGAGCAAAACTGCTAAACTCATGGTGACAAGGAAGTAGAGCACAGGTGAAGAGGAGAGTGAGAAATGTACCTTCCAAATGTGCGCAGCCCCAGTCACCCAGCTGTTCATACTGGCTCCGCGTCCTCACCACGTACGCCACTGTTTTCATCAGCCACAGAGCCATCTAATGATGAGCATAGCGCCCCAGTGATCCAATTCCCCTCCTGGAGCCTCTGAATCCAGACATTGACAAGGTTACCTGACACAGAGGATCCTTGCAGGTTGAAATATCCCGTAAAGAGCATCTCCCCTCTTCTTTACAGGCATCTCACACAGTCAAAAACAAAGTAGCAACAAAAGTAACACGGAAGCAAATGGAACAAAACTTGTACTCAGTGTGACTTTCTTAGCATTAACCCAGGGAGATCAAAAGGAAAGGAATATTTCTTTATCTCTGTGGCTTTTGTCAAAGGCTGAGGTCTGCAATCAGTCGTACACAACTGTTTATTCCCATTTTGCCAAGGCCTGGTCCTCTTCATCATTCTCTTTCTTCCCCAGGGACTAAAGACATGTGGCGAGCCTACCGGGACATGAGAGAGGCCAATTACAAAAACTCAGACAAGTACTTCCACGCTCGAGGAAACTACGATGCTGCCCGAAGGGGACCTGGAGGTGCCTGGGCTGCCAAAGTGATCAGGTATCGCAGGTCCTTGGGGTGCCGTGCCTGGGCCAGCAGCGCGGGAGAGCCTCGGACGGCCGACAGGCCTCCTTCCTGGGGAGGCACTGCCTGTGGAGCCTGGGCTTCCTCCTCCCTCTGCCAAGCTTTCTCTGTGCTTAGTGCTGGGCCTGACGGTCTGCGCGGAATTCATGACTGCTCGCCCTCCCTGTCCGGTGCTGTCCATCCCGTGGACAGATGGGCTGGCACGGGTGCAGACAGAGTCAGTAACTTGCCCTCTTCTTCCTTGGTGTCCCGGGGCTCCTTTCTGCACCCTCCTGGGGAAGCGGGAGTCAAGAGAGTGGGGCTGTTGCTTATCAGCCTACTGATTAATCTCCTCTGTCTGCCTGGATTGCAGTGACGCCAGGGAGGGAATTCAGAGATTAACGGGCCACGGAGCAGAAGACTCGAGGGCCGACCAGTTTGCCAATGAATGGGGCCGGAGTGGCAAAGACCCCAACTACTTCCGGCCTGCAGGTCTGCCCAGCAAGTACTGAGCTTTCTCCTTGCTCTGCTCTCAAGAAAATGCAGCTGTGGGGCTGGGAAGTTAGCTCACCGGTGCCACCGCCTGCCTTGCTTGGGAGTGCAAGGTCTGAAATTCGATCCCCAGTACTAAAAAAAAAAAAAAAAAAAAAAATCCAGCTGTGAACTCCTGAGGGCTGGGACATTTGTTGAACTACTTGCTTAATTTGATTTCCCTAGTACATAACATAGATCACACAAAAATGTTCAATAAATGTTTGTGAAATTCAATTTGTTGTTGTAATCTGGGAAGAGGATATGACATTCTTACTGGGAACATGGGCCACGTGCATGATCAATAAATATGATTGTTTTTAATTTATTTTTTTACAAAAAGAGATCAGACACAAGTTACAAAATAGAAATTGGAGGTAAGATTACCTGTCCATCCATGTACTGCAACCTGGACCAACATATGCCTATATTATATATTCCATAAAGTGGGAATGATAAGAGAATGTTTTGGCAATTGAAACAATATTTGAAGCTAAATAAAAATTTTATAAATGTTGAAAACATACAACTCACGAATACCAAAACAAAATTCAAACTACGAATTATCCCATAATTGTTTTGAAATTTTTATTGTTCTCACAAAATAGCATACATAGAAGGTTGCCTATATTATATATTCCATAAAGTGGGAATGATAAGAGAATGTTTTGGCAATTGAAACAATATTTGAAGCTAAATAAAAATTTTATAAATGTTGAAAACATACAACTCACGAATACCAAAACAAAATTCAAACTACGAATTATCCCATAATTGTTTTGAAATTTTTATTGTTCTCACAAAATAGCATACATAGAAGGTTTGATAGACAAATTTATAA